AATATTAAAAATAAATAAATAATAAATTTACTTATTCTTCGAGAAAGTATTTTTCTTAAGATCATTTATATTCGAGATTTCCAAATGCTCGGAGTTCATCCATTAGATCCTTTTCCTTCTTCTTATTGTTGGATATTTTGTCATACACATTCTATTCGTTGTTTCTCGAGCCTCTAGTGAGTTACGAACACAATTGATAAAATTAATGTAAATTGTAATGAACCATTTGAATTTTAAAAATATCCCAATAAACACCACTAGTATACATTAGGTGAATGTTTGATCATGTTTCGTTGTGAAGTTTGAAAAAAATAATTTTTAAAAATAACAAGACTGTCCACGAGAGTAATAAGTACAAATTTAAGGGACTAAATTTGCTTTGTTTGAAAACTTTGAGGACACTTAAAACCCCCGCCCCACTCAACCGAATCAGGAGAAACTAAAACCCTGCCGTACTTCCCTCCGGCCTCCATCCTCCATCCTCCTCGCCGGAGCTGTCCCCGCCGGCGGACCCTTTCCATCTTTCTGTCAGTACTCAACTCTCTTTGTGGTATGATTCTCTTCTAGTAGCAGTTTTTGCTTTTAGTTTTACTTGATTTACATTTGTTGCTGAAGGGGACTTTTTTATGCTCAAATTTGTTTTTTATTTATGTCAAGAATTGAAATTAGGTGTTGGGGTTTGTGATTTTTGCTGAAGTTGGGTGTTCGGGCTAGCTTTTGTGCACCTAGACTAGTTCCACGAGATACATGTCACCTCACACCCGCAACTGTATTGTTGCATTTGGTGATGGAGCTAAGTTGTAAATAATCTTGGTGTTCTTCTGACTGGATTTTCAGCTGAAGCATAAACCATTTACCCTCTTATCTTGTTATGCTAAAGAGTGTTGTTGTACTTAGAGAAAGGGAATTTGTCATCATAAAGTTCTAAATTTGCTTATGACATTGTAAAAGTTTGCTACTTTATCTTATGTGCCTCTTATTTGAAGCTCATATCTCTGTGTGTACTTCTTGTGTTATAGGACACAATAAACCCTGCTGAAAGAGATGGCTTTTATTGTATTTTTATGAGTGAGTCCAGTTGATGTGATGGAGTTATATAGGATGGGCAAGAAAAGAGACAAATATAAATAGGGCAAGAACGTAATCGTTAACACTCTTGTTTGGATGGTTATTACAGAGAAAAAGAGAGGGCAATGAACCTCAAGACTATACTTCGTTTCTGCAGACAATTTGCTCTCAAGTCTTTTTGAACTGATATCAGTGAATATTCTGAGAGGCTATTTTACCACAATAAGTAATAAGTTTATAATGTCCATTTACTGTCCAATCTGTTAAATCTTTGAAACTTATAGGAGTCATCTGTGTTTTCCATTGTATCTTAAGCTCTGCAACTTCCCGAGGCTGCTTCTCAACATTATTTTATAGACCATTAAAAAATGCTAACTTGTGTATTCAGGTTTGCCTAATTTGTATAATGCCCCGAAAGCCGGCAAGACATTGCAGACCAGCACGATGCCTACCTTTAAGTTTCTCTCCATTTGCTCGTTCAATGGCACGGATTGCCTCAAATAACAAGGTTGCACAGAAGGTCCAAAATCCCAGATTTCCAGGAAATAATCTACCTACATCTCCAGGTGAAGTATTTGATTAAGTTGTTATTTTGGTGTATAGTATGTAGTTTCTATCTCATGAAAACTTATTATGAGCACAGTGATCCATTTCAATTTCTGGTTCTGAAGCTGAATGTTTTCCATCTTAGGTAAAAGGATGGTAAATCACGAACTAATAGACAAGAGTGAAGATTCCGGTTCTTCAGATGGTGAAGAGTTTGATGTAAGGACATTCCATTACTCGTTGCTGGTAAATGATTTTTCGTATTGGATGTCAGTACACTAACAGCTTCTCCTTTGGTTTTGAAAGGGCACTGTTCAAGCAGATTTTGAGTTCTTTGATCCCAAACCAAGTGATTTTCATGGGGTGAAAATCTTGCTGCAGACCTACCTTGATGATAAGCAATGGGATTTGAGTGGTTTTGTGGATGTAATACTGGGTCAACCCACAGTGGGAACTGTTATTAAAATAGAGAATGATGACGATGATGGTATTTACTCCATTGTCACTGCTCTTAACTTGGGTAGATATAAGGTAAGAAGCTAACACTTTATGTGCTACATCCATGTTGTGCTAAAATTTAGTCACCACATCACCCAGCCTGTGATGTCAAATTTGGCATCCGAGTTTGGAGATGCTTCTGAGTTCCCATTTTGTTTGTCCATTGCTAAATTTGCTAATTCTGTACAGGAGCTCATAATGTTGTTAGTGTCATACTCCTTGTATTCTTGCAGATTTACTGTTTGTCTGGCTTTGATTGTCTAAAAATAGGATCTAGCGTGCATGGCGGACCTTAAAGAGTTCCTGCTTAAAGCATGCCGCCAGAAGGATGTGTTCTCGAAATTGAGCTTATTTCTGGGAGACCAAACCAAGGATGTTGGTCTCTTGGTCTCTCAACGTGTTGTGAATCTTCCTCCCCAGCTTTTGCCACCCCTTTATGATGCACTTTTTGATGAAGTCTCTTGGGCTACAGAAGATGAGGTTAGATGAGAATATTAGATGGATGAGCTTTATGAATTATTTTCACATGCTCGTATTGTTTTCTGTCTGCCGTTTCTCCTCTCGTGAATGTAGCTTTACCTTGGTGTAGTGAAACTTTTGTCATTCTTATGTCTTTTAAGCCTACAAAGGAGCTCCGGAGTTCTTTCTTCTTCAAGTTTTACCTAGTAATCAGTAAAATCTACAAGGTAAGGCTTATTCGTTCCTTTTTGGTATTTGAGTGTGGATTTATTACAGTCTAGTAGACATTAAATTGTCCTCTGCTTGATGGATTTTCTTATAGCATAAGAATGCGGACAAGCAAAATGGACCAAGTGATGATCAAACTATTGTATACATTAAGGCAGAAGACGAAATCTTTTACGAGGTACCATAATTTATTTTTACTTTTATTTTTATTTTCTTGCCTTTTTGCTGCAATGTCTCTGATTCTTCCTGTAAATGTTTCTTCAGTTAAGCTCTTGGTCCTTCAGTTTTCCTTTGCATACACAGCTGGTTAGGACTGACGAGGCAAGTGCTTTTCTCATAATATCAAAGCTTTATGTATTTTTTGATGGCGGTTTATGTTTGTTAGTATATATATATTGATTTCCTGCAATTCGTTAAATTCTGTATATTGGAGAAAATACAAAGAAAACACCAACTAATATGTCACTTGTATATATATGTTCCACTGTCATTCAATTGGGATAGAGGCTAAGATTAATTGAAAGGGTCTACTGCATCACATTCTCTAAGAACAAATTATTTATAAAACAGTAAATAATTTGCCATATCAGTGCTCAAAGTCCATAGCTCAGAACTGTAGAAATGCAATTGTTCTTATTTATTGAGAGACCATGTCTGCAACATGTTAGCCTTAGTTCAAACTTTGCTTTTGAACTAAGGGTCTATCGGAAACCTCTCTACTTGGTCATTGCTCGTGTGATTATACTTGCCATCTGATTGCCATTTATGAATAAAACACTTATTCGTCTCCTAACGTTGCAGCTGAAAGATCATCGGCTAACTGGCTTGGTAATGGCAATAGACGCAAGCAAAATCCCCGTCTTTCGACAGAAATTGCACTCTTTAATAGACCAGTGATGATTTGACGCGCCTTTGGAAGTTATACGGATTACTACTCGATGCCTCTAGTTGGACATGAAAGCAGTAATCTGTTTTTTGACAGATATATTAAATGTATTCAGTAATGATCTTACCTCATGGAGTTTCTTGAATTAAGTTCTTTCACATATTTACAATCTTAAATTTTCTTGTGTACATTTTTCAGTCTCAATCTTCACCAATTCATTATAACAATTGTTATATACTCATCGTCCGGGGAGCTTGCTTCCAGAAGCTCTCCGGACCGTATCTAGCTCACCCAGTTTTTTTTTTTTTTTTTTTGGTTTTCCATTTGGTGTCGGAGCCAACATTGGAGCTGCGACTAATTCTAGATTGCACATTACAGGGACCATTCATGGGTGGTACTCCCATCAGTATTTTCTCCATACCTAGGTCTCGAACCTGAGACTCCTAGCTAAAGGTGAATCAGTTCTACCACTGCACCACAATCCATGTTGGTAGGAGCAAAAGATTAGAGAAATGTTATTTTAGGTTAAACACTAAAATCTCTTTGTTGAAATTTGAAACCTTTAGTTTCAACTTTCAAGTCACTTTCCTTTTGCTTTATTTTAAATCTATCCGCAAATAATGGAAAAACAAAAAGGGTGCAATGATTAGGAAAATTCAATGATTTCTTGGCTTCATATTAATGGTTATCATTTTATTTGTTTAGAAACTAACACACACAAATTCCTCATAATCATGAATTAAGAACTACTTACATTTCTTACTAGTATAAATATAAATTCACATTTTTTTCCAAATAGTTACTAATTATTTATTTAGCGATGTGATTTTTTCATCAAATTTTAACTTCTATCCTTTTTTTTTTCGTTTGATAGTCTTATATAACTCTATCAAAATTCACTTCTATTAGAAATAAATTAATTTAATAACGTCCGCGCATCCCGCGCGGATTGTACCATACTACTTCACTTTTATTAGAGGGACAGTTTTATTTCTCTTTTTCACAATTTTTTTTTTATATCTACTGTCCCACTTTTAAAATAAAATTTAATGACTTGAAAAAGAGAAAAATAAGGACAAGTGGTTAAATAAAAAAACAAACCCGGGTCGTACGGTAAAGGATCCGAATAAATCACCTCTCTCTTCCAAAAATAGAAAAATCCCCAAATTTGGTAAATCCCTAACCCTAAAACAAAAACCTATAAATTTCCTTCATCTTCTTCATATTTTTTCCAGTTTTTTCTCGAGATTTGATCTCTTTTGTTACAAAATTTTACATTGGTTTGCTCAAATTTTCGTTTTTGATGGTGGAAATTTTCAAGAATTTGTTGATGATTACTTCTTTATCATCTCCAATTAGGGAGATTTCAATTTCTTCTTCGTTTTGCTTTGCATCTTGCAAAGAAGGTTGGTATTATCGTTCCATTGGTCTTGATCCTTGAGCCATCCATTACGTGAACATAATTTGGCCTACGTACCAAGAGAAACTCTGTTTTCGTGGCTCGTAGGCCATTTTCGTATTGATAGATCCAAACTATTATTATTTTTGTTTATTTGTAACGAATTTGAGGTTAATCAACAAGATGTTGCTTTATAAGACGAAGAAGATTCAATCCGGGAAAGGAAATCGGTTGTTGATTAGTATAACTGTTGTTGGGAGTGCTGGACCGATTCGTTTTGTTGTTAATGAAAAGGAGCTTGTGGCTAATGTTATTGATATCGCGTTGAAAAATTATGCTCGTGAGGAGAGGCTCCCTGTTCTTGGATCAAATTTTAATAATTTCGTGCTGTATTGCCCAACCGTGGTAACAGAAGGTATTGATAGTATTGTAATTGTTTATATTTCGTTGATTAGTTGCATTTTGAGAAATGTGTTTTGATTTGGCTTAGCTGAGATTGATTTGTCATGATATTACTCGAGATTGAGAAATGAGATTGCTTCGTCCTGGCATGGTGTTTAGTTTAAATTTGCTTCTTATTGCCATGTTAAATATGTTCTTGCTTACCTTTCATTGTTTCCAATTCTGCTTTCGTATATTGATCAATGGCTTATTCAGTTTACATGTATAATTGATTAGTTAATCATGTATATATATGAATAAAAGGACCTGAGAACAGGGGCGGAGCCAGCCTTCTGGGCCCTTTGGTGGAAATATTACTATTTATTTATACACGGTTAAAATTATTTTTGATCTATATATAATAGATGTCGAACCCCCTTTGGTTAGTTGGTGTGTTTAGTACTTCAGATATTGAACCCCCTTATTAAGAATCCTAGCTCCGCCACTTCTTGAGAATGTTGAAAGAAAATGTCCCACCCCTATCGACTAAGTCTTCAACTTGCCCCTCCTCGTCCACCCTCATTGTTATCCCTAAACTTATTGCGAAGTATTTTATCTTTGTATTGCTGCTTGTTGGCTAAGATGATTTTCATGTGTGACATTGTAGAGTTATGTTGGTTGTGACTTCTGCTGTTTGTCCCAACTATATCTTAAAAGGATTTGGTAGGCGTAAACCTTTTCATTTTGTGGTGATGTGTGTTTTTGCTTACATTTGTGTTGTTATTTCAGATTTGAGTCCATGGGAGACGATTGGATCACTTGGTGTTCGTAACTTTGTGCTGGTCAAGAAGCCACAGTCTGAGAATCCAATTCTTGATGCGAAACAACCAATTCTTGATGGGAAACAAGTAGTTATGGCTCGGAAGGGATCTGGAAGTTGGAAGGCATGGTTCAATAAATCACTCAGTCGCAAGATAGTTTCTTACTGAATTCACAGAGTCGACATGAAGTAATCTATAATTCTTGTTGGTTTTTTTTTTTTTGATTCTATTCTTTTTTCATGTCTCTATGTTTGATCTTGTTGGTGTTTTCGTAATGAGAAATTAAACGTTTTATCAGTTCTTTAGATTTGTAGTCTGTTGAAATTAGTCGTTCGAATAAAGCAAATCTTGGTAGAGAGTCCCCTGAGTCACTGTCAAGTCTACTTGTTATATTCAGGTTAAAATAGATATTGGTTGATTATGCAATGACTGATTGTTACTAACAGTCTACTTCTTTTTCTTAAAATGTTGTGAATTTGAAGAGCTTATGCTTCTTCCTTTCTAGCTTACTGGCAAAAGTTCTTTCCCATGTTTGGTTGCCCAATTTTTTTGGAAAGAAAGTATATTCATTTCTATAGCGCCCAAGGTTGTGGCCTGGTGGTCAACGAAATGAGTTAACAATCATGATGTATCAGGTTCGAAAAACACTAGGTGATCTTCCCATATGTTCTAGCCTTGATGAACATAGTTACCTAGTATGTGTTGTTGATGGGAGATAATAGTTATCCCGTAAAATTAGTCGAGGTGCGCTAAGAAAGTTTTAGGTAACCAAAAAATACCAAAGAGTTGCATTCCATTTTTTAGACCTTACTTGTAAGACTATACTGTGTATGTTATCACTACAATAAAAACAACTTTTAGTGACAATAAATAGCACATTAAACAAGAGTGCTAAAGTCTTTACCGACGTTAGTTAAGTGCCATTAGATCTAGTGTAGCTAAAGGCTTTAGAGACATATACAAAGAGTGCTAATTGCCGCTAAAAATAGATATTTAGCGGCAATTAAGCTATTGCCGTTAATTAATTGCTGCTAATGATCATTTTTGATGCAGTGTATTGTACCCCTTTGGTCCATTTTATTTGTCATGTATTTCTTTACACGTTTCTCAAGAAAATATTAACTAAAAGAGTAATTTGATTAAATTATTTTTATTTATTCTTTGATCTTAATTTAATATTATTATTCTGTTTTTCATGATATTAATCTCTCCACATTTATTGAATAATAAATAATTAGTTATATCTTAAAAATCTAAAATGACAACTATTTTGGATCAACTACTCACTCCGTTTCATATTACTCGACTCATATTGATTTGACATATTCTTAAGAAATTTTTAATTAGAGATGTATTTAATAAACCTTATTAATGGTGCTTTGAAACTCTAAATTTGACTGCTATTACTTTATATAGTTATTTAATACTAAAGGAAGTATAGAAAAAAAGTAATATAACTCTCTTGATTTGCTAAAATAAGATTTATTTTTAATATACAGATCAAGTAAAATGAAACGAAGAGAGAGTAGGTGTACAAGAAGTATGCCCATTATTGGAAAATGGTGACCATGTACCAAGATTAACATAAACTATGTTTGTGTTAAATTAAAATTAGGATGTTATTGGTTGAGAAGATGACCTAACAAACAAGTTTTCCAACCAATTATCACAACCAAAACTTAATTCTCCATTCCTATTTTCAACACTCACATATCTATATAAACTTGTTAAAAGTGAAACTTAAAAGTTCAATCAATCTTCAACAATGTCTTACAACCACAATCAATCTTTTTTCTTGTTATTACTTGTCACTTTGTCAATAACAAGTTGCTATGTAATTCAAGCAGAAGCGCGCCATCTTCTTGAAGTAACTATTCCCAATCTTCCTAAGCCTGAATTGCCACAACTCTCAGAAATCCCAACTTTACCAAAGCTCGAATTCCCTGAAATTTCAAAATCCGAGCTACCAACTCTACCAAAGCCCGAACTTCCAACGTTGCCAAAACTCGAGATGCCTGTCATTCCTAAGCCGGAACTACCAACTTTGCCAAAGCTAGAAATTCCTCAAGTGCCTAAAAAGCCTTGAGGAAATATATATGAAATGCTCTTTAATTCATTGAAAGCATTCTTGAAATGTTACACTTTATTATTGTGTCATATGGTCATGAGTTTTTCTTTGTTGTGCTAGAAAATTTCATTTTGGATATATTATAGTTGTCATGATATTCTATCATCAATTACAAAAAATGTTAATGTAATTGTTCTGTCATCAGTTCACTATTGCATTTGTGTTTCAAGTGGCATGCATTATACACACCTTGTGTTACAATCCAAAATCCAAATAGCATTTATTTATCAATATAAATAGACTCAGGCTGATCAGTCATCATTAAGCAGAATTTTACAAACTGTTGTTCAATCCACAAAGAAATTAAAAATTACACTCTATCTTTTACTACATGGTAGACTGTTGAGAATATCATTAAAAATAATAAAAGTGTGCTCTCTCTAACATCTTAAGCTTTTAGATGAGATGGTCACACTTTTATTATTTGATGATATTCTCAACACATCAACATAGACATTATAAAGCACACCACACATTATTATAAGACTTATGACAACAATTTAATTCCAAACATATGGTATATATACATTGCTCGTACTCTTTAAAAATGTTGTTGCGTCCATGTGAGACAACACACATCCATCAGTATTATCAAAGAGTCCAAGCAACATAAGTATACATATGTAGCAATATTTATTTATCAGTTGAGATGGTGAGTCTCAATATCTTTGGATATATTGAGAAGAAGTTCCATATATGTGTGTGGATCTGGCACATTTACATTCTTCTTTTCATATTCTGCGATCCAAGTAACTAAGTTGTTTTCACCTTTGCTCTCAACATGAACAGTAAAAGAGCATGCTTTATATTCCTCCAATATATCTCCTCCAGTCACTTTGAATTTAACCAACTTCTTTTCTTCATCTATGGCTTCAATTATATCCTTTGCAACCTTTTCTTTCCCGTCTATTATATATATACAATGAATTGAAATGGTAATTAGCTATCGACAAATTTTGTCGCAAATAAACAATAAAATTCATTGTTAATTCTAATTAATAAGGAATAATTTATGAATAGATAATTGTGAATTTACGTTAATTTGAAATTCATAAATATTAAATCTCGAATCATTGTGAAGTGGTATGGTGGTGGCTTACCATGAATGAAGTACCAAGAAAGGACAGAGCCAACAGTTTCCCATTCATCTTCATGAATGTCTACATTTTGTATTTTGTCACACATGCTTGAGTTATGGTGTGGTCTATGCCTAAATATCTCATGGAACACATCTCCATCACTCTTTATGTTTATCTCTGAAACCAATTTTCCTTCTAGGGTCATCTGTCTTAATTTTATGATATGATATGATATGATAATATACAAAGTTATATTAGTTAACGAGTGTGTGGGGTTCATCATTGCATGGCTCTCTGCCCTTTTATAGATGTTAGGTAATGCAAATATGTCTCGACTCTAGCTAGGCTACAAATTTTGCAATTTTTTTTTGCCTATATACAAAAATTGAACAACTATTTTGTCCATCAAAAGTTGAACAACTATTTTTGTCCATCCAAAAATCAAATTAACTACCATACAAATAATAACATAAACTCGGTCCACAAAAGTGGGTCTGGAGAAGATAGAATGCACATAGGCTTTACCCTTACAATTCTACCTCAGAGGTAGAGAGACTGTTTCTAAAAGACACTCGGCTCAAGAAAAGCCAATTTAAATAGGAGTAACGGAAGTGAAAGAAAAAATGTAATGTCAAATTATTGTTTTTGGTATAAAGATTTAATGTAAGGAAAAGAGTGAAATTATAATTATTTGAAGTCAAGCTAGTAAATCACTACAATAATATCGTAACAATCACTTTTTTACACACTTTTGTTTATCAGCTTAATGATATCAAAACGTCGAATAATAACAATATACATATATAGAATATACATCGCTATAATAATTATAAATTTTTCAGACAAATATTACAATTAATAATAGGAAAAATTACACGGTTAAGCAAACATATTCAAATTAATTAGTCATCATAGCTATAATTTTAGTTAATTACCACTCGCGACCATCATTCAGTGATAATTACGTGGGCTAGGGTTTCGAGTTTGTGTAATTCACACATTTGTATAATTCAAAATTTTTATAATAGTATTTGTATAACTTTTGTATAATGTAATTTTGTATAATATTATTTGTATAATTGTTTAAAGTTTAGATGTTTGTATTTGTATAGATTCGTTATTTCGAGTTTATACAAAATAACTCCATTATACAAACGTACCGGAAAATTATACAAACTCCCATGCGAATTGTACAAACCCTCGAATTATACAAACGAGACAGCTTAAACTATAACTACAACTCATAAATATGCAAACTATAACTATGAAGCATAATTAAATTTATTATTGTAGCTATTTGCGAATGTAACACCCCAGAAATTTTTTGAACTAAGACTCGAACCATCCTTCGTAGTGAGTAAGTTTTTACCAAGGAATTTATTTTTTCTTGAGTGTTAAGGTCACTAGAAGTAGCACCTTGAGTTCCAAGAAGAACCAAAGAGAAAGGCATTCAAGTCATTCCTAGTTTTTCTAAGTTTTGGGTCAACTTCAAATGACCAGAACTCCTAGTACAGGATGAGTTAGGTGAGCTACAAGATGGAAAATTAAATCCCTTCGAGTCCTCTTTCCAACGCCACTGAGTTTGATAAATTTCGAGATTTGAGTACAAAGTTATGACTGATTTACTAACGACGCATAAACCTGGCAGCAGCTCCGCGATGGCTCCGCGTTACGGAGCCAATACAGACCTCACTGCCTGCTGAAAAATTATTCCTACTCCCAGCTCATTTTATTTATTTCTTTAGGGGTATTTTCGTCCTAATAACCCTTAGGAGGTTATCTAAATTTTCCTAAACGTGTAGAAAAATCAGTTTTCATAAATCAAACCCTCTCATCCACTCCAAAAATTCTAACGCTCAAGGAATTCAAGAAACGCTAAGGCTAGGGTTCTTTTTCCAAGATTTTGCTTCAAGTTCTTCAAGAAGAGGATTCTTTCAGGTATGTAAGCTTCCATAGTGTTGGGTTTATTCACCCACACGCCAATCATGTTAATTTAAGCGTTAAATTCGTTCTAGAAAGTTGAAAGTTTGGTGTTCTTGATATGTGTTCTTGAATTTGCTTTCGTTCTTGAATTGTGCTGAGATTGAGAAGTTCTTGAAATTATTGCGTCGATTTATAGAGTTGTTTTGAGTTAGATTCTAGTGTACATGTGCTGGCCATCTGAATCTAAAGAGAAGTTGAGCAAAAGAATCGAATTTAGGCGAATTGGGGTTAGAAAACGAAGAAGGAAAAAGTCGGGCAAATCTAGCAACCCAGTCTGCGTCGCGGAGAGCTAGGTCACGGACCCCTCTGCCTCAAAAGTTATTTCGCGACCAAATATTAAAATGCATCTCCGCGTCGCGGACTTGCTTCCAGACAGTGATTTCTTGATCGTTTCTCATGTTTAACTATCTAAAAACACTCCTAAATATCACGAGATCTTTCCTATCACAAATCATAACCTTGAATTCATGATTCAAATTCAAGGTAGAGTTAAGAGTTAAGTCTTGAGAGTTCTTTCGAACATTTTGAGAAAATCCTTTTGAGGAGTCTTCTACAATTTCTAATAACTTGTTTCAAGACTCGAGCAAGTGAGTATGAGAGTGATGAGAATGTATTCATGAGTCTACTTTATCATCACGAGATCCTTCATATCATTAATCATAACTCTTGAATTCATAATTCACATTCAAGAGAGAGTTAAGAGTAGAGTTCAAGAAAGTCTTTGAGTTAAATTGTGAATGATTTAAGATCCACCATCGATTTTGAGTTAAGTTTTGAATAAGTAAGTATGAGAATGAGAAGAGTCATATACATGAGTTCCATAATGTTCTTTAGACCCTCGAGTCGAGTCTTTCATGCCCATAAATTCCGCATGAACTCCATAAGTTGAGTATCTTTGAGAGGAGTAGTATCTTCAAGTTTTAAGTCTTGAGTATTGAGTTCCTAACATTTTCGAGATTATATTCCTAATCATGGGACTATTACATGTTACCCATAAAGTCCTTGAGTTGAGTAGTTCATGCCCATAATTCCGCATGAACCCTATAAGTCGAACAGTCTTGAGATGAGAAGTATCTTTGAATCCTTGAGTTGAGTAGTTCATGCTCATAATTCTGCATGAACCCTCTGAGTTGAGTATTCTTGAAACGAGTATTAGCATTGAAGTTCTTGAGTTCTTAAACTGAGTTTTGAGAAAGTAAAGATGAGTTTTGAGAAAAGAGTTTCTAAAACATGATTAGTATGACAATCGAGTATGCCATCAATGTATGAACAATATGGTAATCTAGATATACCATCATGTTTATGCAGTATGTACTTTCCGAGTCATCAATGATTATATTATAATATGATTTTGAAATGTTTTTGAGAAAGAGCAGAGTTGAGTTCATTTTATTTAAAATTATATATGAGAACTAAGTATTTCCAAGAGTAAATGTTTTCACATTTAAGATGAGAGGAAACTGAGATTTCCCAAAGAGTTTTGAGCAGTTTAAGAGATAGATTTTAGAATAATTCTCTCAAACCACATAAAAACTTATATTTTTAAACATATGAGCTAGTATATTTTGGTAGTAGTATTGAGCACCTATATGGAGGGGAGTTCAGAAAACTCACAGCTCCCATAAACCATGTAGCCATCATGGGTAGAAAGGATCATACTTTTTAGATGACTCTTTAGTGCCTTTTGGCATAGACTAGTGGATCCACTTAGTTAAGGCGTTCTATATGACGGCAAAGTATAGGACAGTTCTAGCAACGTGGACAAGACACTGTATCATCACTTAGGCTCATAGTGGTGATTGTCGGTTAGAGAAACTCTCACAAAGTTATATTATATTTGTTTACATCCCCACTCTATTCAAATAGGGCGAAATATCGCAGTGACTCGAAAAATAAACAATTGATTCAATTTTAAAAGAATTTTAAGATTAAACGAATTTTAAAAGAGTCGCCACCTAATTTTAGGAAAAACTAGGAAACCAATTAAAGTGATCTACGAAACCATTAGATTCTAGGTAAGGGGTTCAAGTTATTTCGAAGGGAAGGTGTTAGGCATCCTTCGAAATCCATAACTGTGGGTCCCAACTGAGTTCATTTTTTTTCCAAATTGAGGAGGAGATAAAAATAGTATACAAATAAAACAAACATACAAGATACACAAGTAATAAAATAAAATAATATAAGAAACAACCTAGATTTGTCTATCGTCAATAATATACGGTAATGAATCAAAGTATTGTTCGAACTTTGTTCGAATAGCTTCAATGGGAAGCTCCGGGTACCTGTAAAGACAGTTAGTAAAAGTGTTAGTAATAAATAAATATGAATAAAAATAAATGAATTAAACAATAACTTAAAAAATAAAAATCCGTCTTATTAA